GAAAAACATGAAAGAAAGAAAGAAAGAGAAGACAATGATTTTCTGCAGAGTTTTTCTCTGCTCACAAACTGTGGAAAACTTCTTATTCACTTGCAATTTCAAATTATATGAATACAACTTGATTACAAAAAATAGTGGTTACTCCCTCTATTTATAGGTTTAGGTTAGATTTCTCCCTAAGCCAAAGCCCAAAACTATAAAAGTCCAAAATACCTATTTTGGAACTAAATAAAATCTATCTATTTTAGACATAAATCAAATCTATCTATTTTAGATTTAAACCAAAACTGTATGTAATAAACTACTTTCACACTTCGACACATCCTTGTTTTCTGTCGAGCAAGCTGCTTCGACACAAGGAATTATACTTTAAACACTTCTACCATACATATTGAGACATCATCTAAGAGGATGTTTGTGATGCACTAATCCAATTTTTCAAGACAGTATGGATCATTCCTAACTTTAGGGTTTACTCAGTTATTTTGATCTCTAAAAGACTAAAGATGCTCAGACAATGAACATTTTCAAGCCAATCACCGTATCAAATTTCAAATACAAGATTATCTCAAAGATTTTGGCTGATAGACTTTCTTTCATATTGCCTATTCTAATTTCTAAGGAGCGGAGAGGTTTTGTTCTTGGCAGAAACATTAGAAATTACACTTGCTTAGCTTCAGAAGTAATCAATGTTCTGGACAATAGTTGCAAGTATGACAATTTGTCCTTTAAGTTTGATATCTCTAAAGCATTTGACACAATAAGCAGGAATTTCTTGCTTAAGGTACTGTCTAAGTTTGGGTTTTGTCATAAATTTTGTGATTGGATTAGTACTTTGCTTTCCTCTACTTGCCTATCTATTCATTTCGATGGACTTAATCATGGATTTTGTAAATGCAAGAGAGGGGTGAGACAAGGTGGCCCGTTGTCCCCTATTTTATTCTGCTTGGAAGATGATGTGTTAAGTAGAAGCATTACTAATTTGGCCTCAAAAGATGGGTTAGACCTCATCAAGTCCTCCAAAAACATTTATGTCTTCTATCACATCTTTTATGCATATGACATTCTCATATTATGATCTCGTAAGATGTACAACATTCATTCTTTGAAAGATCTTTTCATGATTACACTATAGCCTCGAGCCAAAAGCTCAATTTTGCAAAATATTTCATCTATTTTAGTTCTATCTCTAGTAGTCACCTTTATAGAATCCTAACTTCTAATGATTTCATCAAAGGGAACCTCTCTTTCAACTACCTTGGTTTCCTTATTTTTAAAGGGAGAGTAAAATCCTCTTATCTTCTCCCCATCACTGACAAAATCCTTAACAAGCTCTCAGCTTGGTAAGGTTCATTACTATCTATGGCAGGTAGATTAACACTAGCCAAATATATTATTCAAAGCATGATTTCTTATATTATTAACATCTACCCGTGGACCGTTTATATGCTTAGAAGAATAGAGAAGGCTTTCAGGAACTTCATTTGGTCTGGGGACATTAACAAAAGAAAGTTGTTCATGGTGGCTTGGAAGAAAACTTGCCTACCTTTTAATAGTGGTGGTCTATGATTAAGATTCATAATTAGGATGAATGAAGCAAGTAACCTCAAGATAGGGTGGGACTTGATAAATTGCATGTAGGGTTGGGTTATCCTCCTTTAAAACAGAATCTTTAAAACCAAGGGCGTCATAAAATATCACATTTTTTCTACACTTTGGATTGATATCAAAACTAAAATTTTCAACCTTAGCAACAACTCATCTTGATCTCTTGGTTAAGGAAAGAACTTCATATTTTGGACAGACTCATGGTGTGGCCAGCCCTTAATTCAATTTACTATCATAGAGTTTCTTCTTTTAAAAGTTATTAATTTGAACTCAGTTATTTCTGACTTCATCAAAGACGATCATTGGGACTTCCCTTAATCTTGGTGTGAATGGTTTCCTTTCCTCCCCTCTTTGGTGCCTCATGCTCCAGGAAACCCAGATACTCGTATGGATCTTCTCATATGAAAGCACAATGATTCTTGAGTGCTTTCCATTAAAGACTCTTACAATTCCAAGAATGAGAAGTTTCCAGATCTGGATTGGGAGGATATTATTTGAAGCAGAGACATTCCTCCTAGTAAGTTATTGCTTGTTTAGAGATTAATGCATGTCAAAATTTCTACTGATGTTAAGCTTAAATATAGAGGCATTTGTGTGGCTACTAGGTGCTACCTCTGCAACTTTATAGAAGAAAGTACAAATTCTTTGTTGTTTTAGTATAGCTTTGCTAGATCTCTCTAGAATTAGCTCAGAAGAAAGGCCAACATCAAGTTGATTCTTGTTTATATGCATTAGTGGCTTAGTATTTGAATTTGTGGCAATTCTAACCAAGCATATTTGGTTGTGAAGGTGACTATCATCTTCATAACCAATCAGATTTGAACATCCAGAAACAATTTAATGCACGATAACCAGAATCAAGGTTGTCAGAATCAAATTTTTACCTTGACTCACTTTGCTTAGGTAAAATCGAAACATAAAACCGAAACGTAAAATTCTAGAGTTTATCTCATTTTAAAATAATATTAAATTTATATACACGACATATATATACTTATATAATATTGTAAATGCATCAACAATTTAAATTTTTAACTTAATTATAAAGCAAAAATACACTACATCACCATAATAAAGTGTAATACTCATAAACTTGTATCAAACTATCTAAATTACCCACCAAATTATAAAAAGTAACATCCAAAAGATTATTCTAAAAAAATAAGAGTTTCATAAGTTTCTCAAGTTCAAAGAAACACGTGTTTTCATCTTCATCTTTAACTTAATCAAAAGTTTAATTTATTTACAACATCATCTTCATTAGTGTATTTATATTCAACTTGATTAAATTTATATCTAGATGATAAAGGTTCTTCAATACTATAATCAAGATATGAATGTGAATAAAATTAAAAAGCACGAGAGAAATTTTCATGGGGAAAAATATAAAACGTGTTTTTTAAAATTTGACAAAAAAGGTAAAATCAGGTCAAAGAGTTAAATCCAACAATTTTACACGATTTTATATGATTTCACTGATTTCAGAGTGATTTAAATCATTTAAAATCGTCTCATAATACAAATTTACATAAAAAGGTTTTCAACTACCATTTAACACGAAATGCTGACCTAAAAACGTGAAATCTATAGAATTTAGGTTTTAAATCGCGATTTTAACAACCTTGACCAGAATCATATTTGCAGTAATTCTATCAACAAGATTTTGGCTCAAGTCAAATTGGCGGGCAATAATACTTCTAACACATCTCCAATCTCAATGTCCGACTTCTCTATAATTAAAGCTTTTGATGTTTCTATTCGGCCTCCTAGAGCTATTAACATAAAAGAAGTTCTTTGGAGTCCTCATAGTACCGGTTGGATAAAGTGTTACTATGATGGAGATTTCAATTCAATTTCTAATGCTGGGTGTGGAGGTATATTTAGGAATTGCAAATGAGGCTTTCTTTTAGCTTTCGCCGATAATCTTTTAACTGGGTACTCTGATTTTGCCAAGTTCTCTACTAATTTAAAGTTCATTGAGATAGCTAGAAATCGTGGTTAGCACAAACTTTAGATTGAAACAACTTGCATCATGGTCATCAAAACTTTCTCCAACCACCGTTTGATCCCCTTGAGACTTAAACATATGCGGCTTAGGTGTTTGGATCCATCTAACGACACAAACATCATTATCACTCACATACATCAGGAAGAAAACTCTTGTGCTGATTTTTTGCAAATATAACTCTCAACACAAGTTCCATTATATTTTTTTACTCCTTCCCTATTAAGATTAAGAGTAATTTTGTAAAGAATAGTAAGGGTGTTCAAATCCAAACTTATCTAAATAAAAACCGCAAATCGATCCAAAAAATAAAAAAATCGAATATTATTGAATGTGTTTGAACGTCATTTTGTAAAAACCGCTCGATTCAAATTGAATTTCAAATTAATTTTTCAAAACCGATTTAAATCAAACCGGACTGTATCTATATATTTTTATACTTATGTATTTTTTATTTATTTTTTATTAATATGATATGCTATATTAATTTATTATTCAATAATATTTATTTTTTGATACTATTTAATAGATTAATTTAATCTATTTATTTTTATTATTTCATTTATTTTAACTATAATTGAACATTCTCATTCTGTAATATTAATTTTTAATTTATTATGTGATATATATTATATCAAATTCATTATTTATTCAAATTTTTATAATCTTAATAAAAATATAATTTATAATTTTAATATTTAAAAGATAATCCAAATTAAATTGTATAAAATTAAATTGAATTGAATTTTTTAATAGTTTATTCAAATTCGAAAAGAACTGTGAGTAAAAAATTATCTTTAAATCAAATGAATTTTTATTTCAAAACTGATGTAAATCGCACCACAAATATCTCAAAAAATAAATTAAATATACCTTTATTTAAATTTTCTTTCTTTTGACGAGGCTAAGTTCCCTTTTGTTTCCCTTTATTGAGAAAACTCCTTTAATCCATTATTTTTTATATTTGGTCTATCGTGAAATTTATGCTAGCTGTGTCGCTACCACGGACGTGTAAAATTCGTTTGGTCAAATCTCAAGTTTATTTTCCATTTTCATCAGTGTCGCTATCCACTAGTAATTTCTTTTATTGTTGTTTCTTTTGTTCACATTTAAATTTTGTTATAGTTTAATATATCAAATTCTTATTTTAATAACAATAAATAAAAATGCACTAGTTAAAGTGGAATATTTAGCCCTTTTAAGGTAAAACGACGAAATTAGAGAACAAAACTATTTTCATAATTAAAAAAAGCCAAACTTTAAGTACAAAACTTTACAAAGCAGATTATTCTGCAAAATCAAACATTAAAATCACGTTTCTAATTGTACAACTAATTAAAAACACACTAACAAAAATGAACTCTTCTGTTGCTATCAAATTCAGGAACTAAAAAGTGCTTCCTGTTCTTGAATCAGAAGAATCTCCGCCAAAATCCATCAACCTCATAAGCTGCTGAAAATCAGCTTCCCCAATCCTATCCCAAAAATCACAATCCACATTATTCCCAAACCCCATTGTTGTTTCCATTTGCATCTCTTGATTCAAATTCTTGTCCTTGACATTCTCCGTACCAGGACTAGGAACAACCACTTCTGGCTCCTCCACTTGCTTCGTAAGCGATTCATCAACTAGTGGAAAATTAAGCTTGGCTCTGGGCCCGCGAAACTCGATGGCGGCATTGTCGTAAGCTCTAGCAGCTTCCTCCGCCGTGGTGAAAGTTCCTAGCCAAACCCGAGCGGCGCGTCTCGGGTCACGAATCTCGGCAGCCCATTTTCCCCATGGTCTCTGTCTCACTCCTCTGTACTTCTTTTTTGCTCTCTTTTGTTTTTTCTTGTTCTCTTCCGGGAAGAAATTGCATCCTAAACATCCTGCTATGTTGCATTCACGGCAGGTTTCCATGGTTGCGGGTGGAACTATTGGGTCGGGGTTGCGAAATTCGGGTATTGAAATACCGGTGGAGGTGGAGGTGGAGGTGGAGGTTGAGCCGGAGACTACGTTGGTTAAAGCGGCGACGATGACGGAGAGTTCTTGGTCGGAGGTGAGGGAGGTGGGAGAGTAGTTCATTTTAGGAAGTGTCGAAAATGAACTGTATGTCGCAGGTGGTTTTGTTGTTGTTGTTGTGTTGGAGTTTGGAGCGTTTAAGGTTTTGAATGTTTAGAAGATTTTGAAGTTGAACATAAGTCAGAGGATTCAAGATGGTTTATATACGGTTTGGAAGTGACGTGGCTGGTAAGAGACAGCTGTGCACGCAATTCACACACGGTTTCATTTTGGTCTTTCAAGTTGGATAATATTAATCACGTGGGGTATTGTACTTGAAGAAAGAGAAAGTCAGAAAGGATTTTAATATGTGATGACGATTGGTGGTGGGGTTGGTTGGTGATTTGGAGTGCCAGCAACATAGCTAAAATCAAAGGAGAGTTCACCTGACAGTGTAAGACAGTGTAAGGACTGTGTTTTGACATTTTTTCTTTTTAGTTGACCATTTCATTGTACGACCATATTTTCTAGACTTTTACTATATGGTCCTATGCTATTTATTATTTTGTCAATAGCTATATATAATTATATTAATATTTAAAATTATTTTTATGGGTGTTTAAAACCAAACAATCTAATAGAAAAATGCACAATGAATCAAATCAATTCGAAATTGTAAAAAATCACATTAAATTTGGATATGTTTGGATTATCTTTTAACAAAACTGTACGGTTCAGATCGGTTTGTAATTTGTATTTTACAAACCGAAATAAACCAAATCAAACCACATTATGTTACAACATAAATTTTACTTAGCTCACATCCAACTCAAACCTAAACCTATTATAGTTTAGCCTTATGAGTACAAAGACTTGTCTCATCTTACACTTATGATTTCAATTCCAGTCTTCTTAAATCTCTCATAACATTATCGTGCATTCTTTGTCACATATATCTTTCTCTAATCTCTACTCTTTTATATTCTTTCTTTTTCACTTCTTATTTTTATGAAAATATTCTCTCTTTCAATTTTGTTTTTATCGCACATCTTCTTCTCTAATCTCTCATCTCTTATGTTCTTTCTTTTTCGTCATCGTTAATCTCTCATCTCTTCTATTTTTTTGTTTCATTATAATATTTTTGATATTGATTTATATTATTATTTTATGTTTACTATTCCACTTTTGTCTAATCTAATTTTTATATATTAAATGAGAAGTTGTTGTCCAAATATGATGAGTTTTGTTGTTATTTCGTAGTGTGTGAATGACTAAATACAAAGTTATGTTGTCATCTATATGTGTATGTATGACTCAATAAAATATTTGTAAAAAATCGAACCAAACCATATTGGTTTGATTTGGTTCAATTTTTTCTAAAAACCAACTGAACCAAATCAAACCGCATGTTTTTTTTCTTGCGGTTCAGATGATTTTTAGCGTCAAAACCGCTCAAACCGTACCACAAACACCCCTAATTATTTTTGTTTTGATTTATATATTATTTTACACTCAATTCTTTTAAATTTATATTTTGGATTAAATGTTATGAGTGTGATTTATTTGCTTAGGGAGTGTTAACTTTTTTTGGGGAGGGATCTTTTAAGCAACTCTAAGTTGTGTTCTTGTCAAGTGTTTTGATGAGTATTGTTATGGAAGTGTGTCTTTTCACCATGAAAGTGTGTCTTCTGTTTTTGTCATGGAAGTGTGTCTTCCTATTTTATCCAATCGCTGTATGTGATTGATGAGAGATTGAGGAGGGCCTCATATCTAGGTGAGTCGTAGATAGAAGTATATCACGTGTTGTGATTAAGTGAGAAGTTGTAAATGGGGGAGTTTAGCTTCAAATTAATTCTATTATAGTGGACTTGTCCCTGGCTTGGTATGCCCCCAGAGTAGGAGAGTTGTTCCAAACTAGGTTAATAATTATGATGTGTTGTTTGTGCTTTTCAGTACTATTTATATTATTTATACCTTGCCTGTATTGTTTAAGGCATATCAAATATCCCAACATGTCATAGGACATCTGAAGTTTTGACCTACCCGAATTTTAATTAGCCTGACTTTCTTCAACCCATCTTTCTTTAGCTTATGTAGTTTCCATTTTTGATTGGTGAGGGAAACTTCATTGAAATCTAACACACAAACTGAATAGTCTTTCTCACCGGTCTCTTGATTGTACCACTGTAAGTGTTATGCACAACTAGACTTTGATGCCAACTGAAGGTGAGAAAAATACAAAGGAAGGGGGTTGAATTATGTATATCAAAGCTTACTTCTTTTTGCAATGCTGATTCAGAACCTAACTAGAATAGGTCAGATTCTGAGTCAAGAAGAACTACGTTAGACCAGAGTTTGACTTCAGAGTTCAGTGGACAACGAAATAAATAAATGAAGAAGTAAATAAAGTGACACACAATATATCTCGGTTCCTCCCAAACTGAGAGTAGTCCAGTCCTATTGCAGCACAAGATATTTTCACTATAAAAATTTAGATTACAATTTTCTCAATCACACTTGAAAAATACTTCCTTTCCCAAACCAATTGTCCAAGACTTCTTTCTCAATCAAACTAGAAAGAGACTTCTTTGCCCAAATAAATTATTTAAGACTTATTGCTCAATCAAATTAGAAAGAGGCTTTCTTGTCCAAACCAATTGTAGCAGAAGGATTTTATATGACCAACTCTTCCACAATAGTAGCATCTCATTTGTTCAGTCTTGAAGTGATTTTTCTATTGTCCATGCTGATGTTGCAATATTTTATTTGACATCTTTTGTTCCAGTTCTTTCTTTGGACAAATAAACTTCACTTTATTCTCTATATCTTTGTTCTTCATTGCTTGATTGTTAAATCCAATCCCTTTAACATTTCCAACATACTTTCCAGACTGAAGAATCTCATCAAGCACATTAGAACTACTATTAAGCATTCTTACAGACTTGGTCATATTATCAGGCTGATATTTGAGCAGAACAACTTCACTCTTCAGTCTAGAGATGGTGGACAAATGCTTCATTTTTTTCAGTCAGCAGTTGAGCAATAATTTTCTTTTGATCTTCTTCAAGATGACTCAACTTTTGACTTTTGATGATCAATTCCTTATATGAAGCAACTCGTTCTTTAAAGGTTAATTCTGCATAGTCCGAGTCTTCATCAGAGTTATAAACTCCAACCAAGGCATTGACGGGTTTGACACCTTCTTTTTCATGATCACTATCAGTGTCTTCCTCTGACCAAGACACACACAAGCTTTTCTTCTGCTTCTTGAGATAGGTTGGGCACTCAGTTCATATGTGTCTAAACCCTTCACATTCATGACATTGAACTCCTCTTCCTTGGCCTAACTTGTCATTTACATTTGATCTTGACTTCCATTCCACCTCTTCAATACTTTATTAAATTGTCTTCCAAGTAACACAATAACATTGAATATACCTTCTTTTATATCCAAGTTACACTCATCTTTTAGATCATCGATATTAGAGATAAAATCCACGCTCTTCTTCTTTTCATATTTATCATTGATCCCTAACTCAAAGGTTTGCAGGAACCCCATAAGCTCATCAAACTTCATATTTTTTATGTCTTGTGCTTATTCAATGGCAGCCACCTTCATGTCAAACCTCTTTGATAGAGATCTGTGAATTTTTTTCACCAACTTAGCTTTAAAAATATTCTCCCCTAGGTCACTTGAGGCATTGACTATCTCAATAATATTCATGTGGAATTCATGAATACTCTCATCTTCTTTCATTCTTAAGTTTTCAAACTTGGTGGTAAGAATCTGAAGTCTTGACATCTTCACCTTAGATGTCCCTTCATGAGCAGTCTTCAAGATCTCTCAGGCTTCTTTGGCAACAGTGCAATTGCTTATCTGTCTAAACATATTTTTGTCCACTCTATTAAAAATAAAATTCAAGGCTTTAGAGTTTCCTCGAGATAATTCTTCATCTTTATCATCCCAATCTTCCTCAACCTTCACAACATCAGTAGCTTTCCCATCAGGTCCTACAACCATTGGTGGATCCCATCCCTTGACCATAATTTTTCAAGCATTGTTGTCCATGGATTTGATAAAGGTTACCATACGAACTTTCCAATAGTTATAGTTGGTCCCATCAAGGATGGGGTCTGTTTATAAATCCTCCTTTCTCGTCCATTGTACCAGAAAGTATCTTCCCTGAATCTCACCCAGAGTCAGAGCAGGATGTATGTTATAATACCAATTGAAATTCTACTATTCAGATCTTAGATATCCTAAGAGATGTCGAGACCCCCTTCTCTAAACAAATACAAAATGACAAGATAAACGATAAACAAAGTGCAGAAAAGTAAAGAATACACATGATTGTTAACCCAGTTCGATGTACAACAACACCTACTCTGGGGGCTACCAAGCCAGGGACCAAATCAACTAGATAATATCAATTTGAAGCTAAACTCCCCCATTTAAAACTTCACACTTAATCACTACCCTTGCTTAAATTCTACCTAAAACTCACCTAGGTATGAGACCCTTCTCAAATCCCTTTCAATCACAGACCAGTGACTGAACAACTCTAAACACTTAGAAAATAACAGAAGTCACACTTCAAAGACACACAATCCTCCACTGCTAAAAAGCTTTGGAGTGACTGATAGAACTTAAACTCAAAATTAAAGTCCTACTCTTTTATCAAGATGATAATCGATAGGCTTACAATAAACATATAAACCCTAATAAAAATACACAGTAAGTTCCACACTTGTACTAAGGTTGATGCCTTCAATTTATAATCTTCAATGAACTGGATTTGGGCTTCACATATGCAGTTGGATATGACAGAAGTGCTGCAAAATTATCTCATCAAAGATAGGACATCAATCATTAGTTTCCTAAATTATCTCCATTATTAGAAACTAACAAATCTCCTCAAAATCTGCTTGAATCTTTTTAATCTTTAAACTGTGTGCCACATAGGCTATTATAATATTCTATAGAATATTTTGCACCTGTAACAAACTAAAAAATCCAACAATCCAATTGTACAAAATCACGATTTCGAAAGAAACTGCATAGGACATAACATTAGACATGTTGC